CAAAGACTCGATTTCTAATTTAATTAACGATCTTTCTTTACAAATCGATTGGATGAAGAAGTACTTGGCTTTCGGGATCTTCCGTGCATGCAAACGGCTATAAAAAAATTTCCATTAGATGCAATGAGCTCTAATATAAAACCAGAAAGCCTTTGGCATAATTAAAGAATCTTGACCAATCCTAGGAAATATTACAATTATAATTAAATTTGTAACGTTATTATTAATTGAGCTGTCAAAACTATTATCTTATTAAATTTCTAGAGTATTATAAAGTACGCAACTTAATAAGCTAAACAGCTAAACTTGATGATGTTTTCATAAATAATTTTTAACTTTTATACCCTTTCTTGACGAGGTATACTTTTTCGTCGGATTTAATATATTGCCATTAATTTTATTGCATTAATATAATTTAAATCTATCATTATTGATATTACACTTGTATAAATGTGTCTACACACACACACACGCACACGCACACACACACGCGCGCGCGCGCGCACGCGCACACACACACACACACACACACACATATATATATATATATATATATTTGCACGTATAAAAGTTATTAGGATCAAATTCAATTCAATTTGTATTCCGAATGAAAATGAAGTCGATATATTTATAAATCATTAATGATATATAAGTGTAAATCATGGTATTGTGCCATCGCTATAATACTTGATGAAATATAGGTAGTGTATTGAATAATTATTTTTCGATATGTAGTTATCATTAGTCATTGATTTTTAAATTGAAAGTAAAAATAAATAGATGCAACTTTATAATCATGTGTCAACTAGTTATGATCACGAAGGTATAATTATTTGATCAAAGGGATAAGAAACGAAGGCAGTTTTTCTTTATAATAAATATATCCGAAACTTTTCTATTTAAATATTCTATTTAAGTAATTTTTTTACACTGACGTTAATGCGCTTTTAAGCGAGATTATTCAAGTAAACAACGATCAATACCCGTAATAACCACACGTTTTAACGTATTATTTATTATGATAATGATTTATTTATTTTTGTCTTGCGCTAAAAATCTTATATATTAATATGTGTATTGCAATCTAGCTTCTCAGAATTTTCAATTACTAAATAGAACAAAACAAGAATCATTGCGAATAAAGAAATTTTTATTTTAAGGCTATGCTATCTGCATACGCAAAATAAGTGGTTAATAGTTAGTCGTACTTAAATGCCATGGTAGAATTAAGAGGCGGGGGTGGGGGGTGGTGGGTGGTGGTAGTGCCGCGTTAAATTAATCTAATAGAATTTGCGTAGGTAGGATGAGCGCGTTAGGAAAGCTCGGTGTAATCGATGATCATTGTCGTGATGATCGGAGTTTCAGGAGTCCAACCAAATGGTGACGCGTACAGCGGATGATAATAAAATTGGTTAGTAACGAAGCTGGGGACATAATGTGCCGTCGTATAATGAAGAGTAGCCATTCTCAAATACACCTTACGTACGCTTCCTCGAATAGTGAATTACGATTTTCCGATTTATCACTCTATTCCTATAAGCCTTTGTCCTACTTTTTATTTCTTGATACGGTACTTCTCAATGCCCATCAATTTCATAGGTTTCGTGGGTCAACGATAAATTAAAATTCATTTTAAAAAGTGTTTGATAAATAAAAACAATTGTACGACATTGCAGAGTCGATTATGAATAAAATTTTTGTTTTTAATTCATAAGAATAAATTCGATTCTGTAGAATATACGCGTAATCGTAGCGTCCCATGTAAATTTCGTGATGAAAAACGCGATAATGTTTTTATTGTTAGGATAGCTTGTAATTTTCAATTATAAACTAATTGAATTATTTGTTATTTAGTTGTAGACAAAATAGACGTTAATGGATTATGCGTAACAATTAAATTCAAAGTGAATGAAATTTTTTTGTCAAGATTTAACGTCGTGAACGAATACGCAATATTCATCACATTCAATGTCAAAAAGTTAAAATCGCTGCAAATTGCTCAAAGATAGCATGTTTTATTTAACAATTTAACAATTTAATAAATATAATCAAACAACGATTATCGAGTTAATATCAACTGAATTGCGTTTTTCATCAGAAATTAATGCGGCAGAGTTGGTAAAGTGATTAACTACTCTTAATCTAATTAATAATTATAGCATAGAATTACATTAAGCTACGCTTTATCTAGATGTAGAAAATTTGAAAGCATAGTTTATCATCGAGTTATACAAGTTTCATAACCAAGAAATTGTCTACCTTTTTAATGCATATTAATATATATATATTTCCAAATGATAATTGATTTAATTATTCATTTCTATTCATTTTCTTTTCTTTTTTTCTTTTTTTCTTTTTTTTTAATAAATTTAAAAAAAAAAACAAAAATAATATATATATATATATTTTTTTTTATTTTATTTATTTATTTTTTTTATTTATAAACAATGAACAAGGAGATTTGTACGCTCTATTTGTGATCGATTTTTATCAAATACTTATTCGCCTTTTGGCTATGCTCTGTATATTCGCGTATATGCAAAGATGTCTATGCGCGCGTGGATACATTTGTGCAAATATGTTTACGTGCGTGGCTGTTTATGCACGAGAGTAATCCTGTTCAGCGTGAATACACGTGTGCAGAGATTTGTGTGGGCATTTCTTGATTGAAAGACTACGTGGAATGAAATAAATTTTTCTTTCACATATAATGATTTTATTTTATTTATAATGTTTAATAAGTAAAATGTATTCATATTGGTTAATACTATTAATATCGTATGCCCGTTGAGATGGAAAAAGCTAGAAATTCGTTCGTTAAATTTGAGAACGTCTGGGTAAATTGGAGCGGTTGAAACTTTTATTAAAATTTCAAGTGAAAATGTTTCTTATGAATCATTAAGAAATGCGTGACATTCAAACTTAATATATCAATAATTTTATTTACAGTAATAATCCACGTTAATGACATTGAGCTACTTTTATTTATACCCGACGCTACGGCTAATATGAAAATAAAAATCGAGTGATTAATCAATTTATTATCAATATAAGTAATATATTCAACCTTTTATCATTCTAAAAACAATAAAATTTATAATTAAATTATTAAAATTATAAAAATCCATAGTTCCGAGATTTTGGCTCATTTAGTTGGTTAATTATGTGGTTATTGAACATTATAGCTTATTGTTCAATATACCAATCAACTGTACAGTCGTACAGACTTACTTGTTCGATGAATATTCATTTTCCTTCTCTATCAATTAAATTATCTCGATGTAACAGCCTTGATCAAGTAGACGAAAAAGCATTTATTCAACTCAATCTCATCTTCGTATCTAAATTATTTCTCATTGTAATTTGTCCCGGTATTGAACGGAATAGCATCTATTCGATTATTAACCATCTTCTTTGCGATCCTAATATAATGATCGAGAAGGCTAACTCAACTGCCGCTCATAAAGACGGTTTTTCGCCGGGCTCGAAGCTGACAAAATATCAATCGTCTTTGCGCAGGCTCATTATCAATCGCCCACGAGGCACGATTTATTGTCTTTGTCTCGGCGCCTCTATCGATTCGTAAGTGTTACATTCTTTTCTATGATTGGCCCGGGGCGACATTGCGAAAGCCTCGAGTCGCACCTTTGCACTCGTTCGCGCTTGCGGTCTCTCGTCAAATTCCGACATTTCGGGCTCAAGCGCCGCCGAAAGTCTCATTAGCGTTGGGCTCGAGATGAGCTTTTGCGAACGATCGATCGATCGATCGATCGATCGCGCTTTAAAATGCACCGCTCACAATTGATCGGCAGCGGTGCGCTTCCTTCGGGCGAGACTTTTAACGCTTTAGATTAACGACTCGATCGGCATCATTCCCACTCTTACGTCGGCATTCTTAAGCGCCAACCAGAGATTTTAGTTTTTTCTCCTTTTTTGTTGTCTACAGTTAATAGGGGATTGAATGGTTGAATCCTAGAGGTCGCACAATGATCGAAGTTTTAATTAGATTTTTCTACAAAATTACACGTTACACGACTTCGCGAGAGCAGTAGTGTAATATACTAATAATATGCTCGGGTGCTGTTTATCAAACGCTTGCTAATCTTTTAAAAGAATGGAAATTCATGCTATCCGTAAAACAGTGATAAGCGCATAAGTAAATATTAAGACCGAGACTTTCGAATATTATAAGAGCTGATCAATCGTACAAACATATCTGCGAGTTTAATAATAAGCACACCTATATAATCCTGCAAACGCATGGATGCACGCACGCACGCACTCTCATACACACGCACTAGAGTGAGTGAGATTATTTATCGTGTGCTCGACACTTTGATGTATTAAAGAGATTTGCTATTAAAAAGGAGTATTGTTGGGCGAGTTAGAAGAAAAAAAGTGTGCCGCAGTGCCGTTCCCTTTGAATTTATATTTATTGAGCAAAGCTAGAAATACGATAATTAACGGTGTTAGGAAATTAAATTAATATGTGAAACTGTATCGATATTGCAACGATATTAACAATCTACCTCGCCTCGAAGCTCATTACACTCCAATTTCGGCATATAGTGCAATTACAATTCAAATAGCAACGCAATTAATTACATTTGCCAACCTAAGCTGGATCTTTCAGCTCTCACAAGTCATTGCACGCAGCTACCGCCAGCAAAATGTTATTTGTCACATAAATGCGTCATTGTTGAAAATTTAAAATCGCCGAGAGCATGCTTTGGCCGAGCGACACGTACACACACGCACACGCACGCACACGCACACACACACACACACGCACACACTCACTCTCTCTCTCTCTCTCTATATATATATATATGGTTTGTCACATTCTATAGTCATAAAGAGTCAGCTGATCGTAAAGAGCTGATCCAATCTTCGATAATTAGAATGGCATGTCGATGTGCGCGAGCTTAATATTGTAATAAATTTGGTTGGTAAGTAACGCGAGATCGCCTCAAAGATTGGTCCAACCGATCGTAACTTACCGCTTTTGGCACGTAGGCTCCAGGTTGACGGCCTTGTATACGTCGACGATTCTGTTCCAGATGGGAGCGACGTCCCTTCACGGAGCACTCGCTCCTTCTCGGCGGCACTGACGCACACCCCGGTGTCCCAGTCTCTTCCTCGAGTCTCGCAAGTCAAAAAGCCAGCAGCCACGTGCTCACTCGGGCGCTCAGACCTCCTCGGCACGACCTGATGCGCGAGACGCGGCGGCCCGACGCGAACTGTCGCCGCTAGTCGAGGCGCCGGGGAAAATCCGATCGACTCCCACCCTGGTGCGAACGCGTGGCTCGCTCTCTCCCGCCTCTGCCCCTAGCCAGTCCTCCACCCCGTTGTCGCCGCCGCTGGCTGCCGTTGCTACCGCCGATACCGCCGTCGCCGCCGCGGCCGCCGTCGCCACCCTGCCACTCCGCCGCCCCGCCACACGGTGACGGGAAGCACGTGCGACCCGGGCTGCTGATGCGTAATGAGGCGCGCTCCTTCTGCTCGGCTGCCCCCCGCTGCAAATCTTCGACGAGCCTGACAACTTGAATCTTGGCCACGCGGATCCTGCACTCGCTTCGTACGTCTGCGTGAGGCCATTGATTTTTCATCAATAGCCGAGGCTCGAGTGTACGATTAAGCAGCTTCTCGCTCTTTACCCTACGGTTTTCCGGTTTTTCACGACCTACGTCACACGAGAATTGCATTTACTTTAATCTCTGTCGAACGTCCATCTATCAACATACGTAACTAAACAACATTAACAATGTCATTAGCAATATACAACGAAACATATAGATGCCTTATTACTCTATTTGCGTCTCTCTATTTACATTAAGGTATAAGTTTTTATAGAGTAAAACAAATGCATGATAAATTAGCATAATTTTGTAATAAGAAACAGAAAAAAGAACGTAGTTATGTTAACATTTCGTCTTGTGCATACGTATTTAATATCTTCAGAAATATAATGAAATTATAAAAATAATGCGAGAAGTAGAATAATCATTACAATATGAAATTTATATTTTTGCATTATCAATCTCTTTCAAAGTACCATGTAGTTTTTTATTTTTTTTATTTTTTATTTTTATTTTTTTTTTTTAACACTTCTGAAAGGAAATTGTAGTCTGAAAATATTTAACTCATTAATTTCTTATCATAATGCATGATCAAGTGATGTGATATTTATTCGAGCGTAATTTCGTATTTTCGGCTTTTATTCGCGGTTTATAGTGATTGTGTTGACGGGTTAATGCAAATTACATTGTTTATCAAAGGGTTGAATATAAGCTAGTGCGAGAGAGATAGTGTATAAGATAGATATAAGATGACGATAGACTGAGATGTGAGTGGAGTGAGTTTAGAAGGAGCGATTGCGCGGAGGGGCGGAGGGGGGAAGTAGAGGCATGACACGGAATATATGAAACTAGTGGTATGTTTCTCTCTTTCTCTAATTATTATTATCCGCTCGTTTCTCCCCGATATTCGAATACGAGCATGATTTGTAATAGGTTAGGTGCCTCCGATGCAGGTGGACTCGTCTCTTATCCCAATATCGAGACTCGCATCCGACTGGTTTACCACTACACTACAATCTCAACGTGCTTCTTATTGAGTGACATAGTAATGAAGAAGTGGTAGTAGTGTCGCCGAGTTGCTTAAAATTTGTATTTTCGTAGCCGATCGG